AGCACTAAGACTTCATGGGCCTAAAGCCCATTTCGAACTGGGCTGATTTGATCAGTTAAATAAAGGGGCGGATCTGAGATTAGATTAGCAGATAGGATAGGGTCTTAACCCTATCCACTCAGGGAGTCCAGATCTGAATACAGATTCAGATCTGGAAACCTCCTAATGAGATTAGGAGAGGGCTGATCTAATCTGCAGATAAGATAAGGGTCTATCCTTATCACTTTAAGGGAACTCAGATCCAAATATGATTTGGATCAGCTACTCCTAATGGAATTAGGAGCTGATCCCTTTAAGGTTATAAAAGGAGGAGGGGGCGGTAGCCTCTAAGAAGATCACATCCTCAATTTCAGAGCAAGAGTTACAGAAGAGAGAACATAGCATCTAGTGAGACTGCGCTATTTTCTCCTTGCCTCCTCCTTCCTACTGCCGCCATAACTGCCAGTTCGATCTTTTGTTCAAGCAGGCGATCAAGATCAGATCTTGATATCAGCCTTTGGGGAAAGGCTGATCTGAAGTTGTGCTCACAGCCTCCAGCGAATTCTTGTGAAGGGTTCGGTTTGTTGGACGAACACTGCTGATTCTGCTCCAACATTCACTGTGTCATCTTCAGTGGGAGCAGTCTTTGGAGTCTTTCTTTGGCCGTGAACACCTTTGTTGGGAGATACTGTTTCTCTGTATCAGGTATATCCCTCTCCTGCTTCTAGTTTCAGATTTGGTTCGATTTAGGGTTCAAGATTGATCATTGAAAGTGCAGATTTTCTAAAACTGGGAATGTGATTCCCAGATGAGGGGAGAGGAAATTTTTTGAAATTTCGCCCAACCTTCCTGCAGGGTTCGTTCATCCATATGATGGATCTCTCATTCCCTCAAGGGGAGGTTTTAGACAATTGTCAGAAAACTTAAGGATACTCTAAGACAATATGTAAACAGTAAGGGTAGAGTTAGTCAATTAGCTCAACGTAAGGGTAGCTTATGAAATTTTCCCTATAAACAACACCAAAATGTACAAGGAGATGCAATACAATACAATTAGACATGGTTTAATTAATAGCACAATATACTTTCTTATATATCAGCCAAAGACTGGTATACAGTTTCATGCCATTCATTACAAAGATGAGTAAAAAGATGGATCCTCAAAATCTGTCAAAAATAGAAGATCAGAAAAAAGATAATCATTTCAACCTTCCCAATGATCCTCTCTAGGCAACTGTTGTGCTAAAAAAATCATGATGCTTTATTCCTTCCGTAAGGATTGGCATTTGAGAAATGAAGTATGGTTCTAAAGGGCTGTGCATCTCTTGCAAAACCCTTTGATGACCAATCTTGGATTAAGGTCTTTATATGTAGAGGGTCTATTCATTCTTTCTCAAAGGGCTTGACGAAATGGTACTAAGTATTATACAAGTATGGGACCAATAGCAATAGGTGGGCAACACCTATTCTAGGATCAGTTGTAATTTTGCTTTGTTTTGAGGCAGCATCTCACGCCTCTCTGTGGGTACTGTATCATGTACCTTATGTTCGCTCATCTTAATTATTCTTAATAAATTACTTTATTACTTATCGAAAAAAAAACAGGTGGGCAACTGATTCTTCACCTGCATGGCAGAGGGAGTATTCATTTTGTATGTCTCTATCTCTTCATATTAGGTGGTTGATGGTGGGAATTTTGTCTTGAAGTGCCATCCATATCAAGAAGAAAGTCTTGGCTTAATTGGAATTTTAGAGCTGCGTGTTTCAAAACTCTCTCTGTAGAAAAATCAATTATTTTTCCCTCCCCTTTCTCTTTTCTTATATAAGAAGACTGTTCTATGCCCCCCACCTCCCCAAGAATAAAAAAAAAAGAAAAAAAGGAAAAATGTGGATTTTGTTTTCTGCTACTTTTAATGTTGTCCTTATCATCATGCCTACATCCCATCTTACATTCCTGATTACTAATTTAGACTTGAAACCTTGTTCCTTTGTGTTACTCTTCGTGTATGTATGTGTGTTTTTTCTCTTATAGTTGACTTAGCCTAACCAGTTTTTGACTATCTATAATGCATTAATTGTATGATATATCATACTTGTGGTTAGTCCTTTAAGGCCATGCTTGGGAGGGCTTATGTTAAAAATAAGTGCTTAAAAACAAGTGCTTATTCGAATAAGCACTTATTTGCATTTGGCACCCAGCTTTTTCAATTATTTCATATTGGGTGTTTGGTGGTCTTTTTCTCCAGTAAGCACTTAAATAAGCAATTGTGACTCTTTTGTCCTTCATTTTCTTTCAAATTTTCAAAATACCCAATCCAAAGTGAATGAATAAAAGTACTTTGATAGAAGTGCTTTTATAAAATTACTTTTATAAAAATGCTTTTATAAAAGTACTTTGATAAAAGTACTTCCGTAAAAATACTTTTATAAGTGATTTTGTAAAAGTGCTTTTTAAAAGTGTTTTCGTAAAAGTGCTTTTGTAAAAGTGCTTTCATAAAAGTGCTTTTATAGAAGTACTTTTGCAAAAGTGCTTTTGTCAGTGCTTTTATGCTTTTATAAAAGTACATTTGTAGAAGTGCTTTCGTAAAAGTACTTTTATAAAAGTGCTTTCGCAAAAGTACATTTATAAAAGTGCTTCATGTAAAAGTACTTTCCTAAAAGTGCTTTCGTAAAAGTACTTTCCTAAAAGTGCTTTGTGAAAGTACTTTTATAAAAGTGCTTTCGTAAAAATACTTTTCCTAAAATTATTTTTATAAAAGGGCCTTTGTAAAAGTGCTTTTATAAAAGAGAAATTGGTATTCTAAAAATTTACCGGGGACAATTATGGGAGAAAAAAAATGAATGTCCTTATTTTTAAAATAAGCACTTATTTTGGGCTTATTTCCAAACACCAATAAGTGCTTAATGGGGTGGTCCCCGCCCAAATAAGCACTTATTTTTTAAGCACTCCCGAACATGGCCTAAGTACTTTGCATCTGACTTTAGATAATTGGTATAAATCTGTAGTCTCTCCATATAAGAACTGTTCTTACTCTATGTCATATGTTATTTCAATGGTTGGTGATAGTTCTCCAAGATGGCTAAATATGATGTGACTGGCATTGGGGTAAATCTTCGGGAAGTTCCAGATGACAATGGAAGTACTAAATTGAAGGTACTAGGTATCATTTTAGATGGTCCTGCTCATGCTGCTGGTGTGAGACAGGTAAATAGTAAACAAAAGCTTATCTGTTTGTGGTTTTTACCATTAATATTTGGACAACTCATGGTTCACAAGTTGTTTGTAATATATCACTCCTGAGTATTGGCTATTTTTGTTTATAACTAATAAATTTACATAGTTTATTTGTATATTCTCTTATCATCTATCACATTGTTAATTTTCCATTATCCTGTTTAGTTTCTTGCTATTGCATGCACATGTAGTCCATATACAAATTCTTGGGAAGGAGATGCTTATCTTATTTTCTTACTGGGTTGACCTTAATGTGATTTCTAGGGGTACCGTATTGCCATCTAAAGGTTATACCTGTTTCTACTGTAGCTACAATAGTCCGAACCAGTAAGGAGAAGAAGAAAGAGAAGGAGAAGAAGAAGAAGAAGAGAAGAAGAAGAAGATGAAAGAACTGTCGAACCTGATAGCTAAACCCTATCAATCGACCTCTTAATAGTGATTAGGCTTCTAATTAAATGTACAAGGACTAAACTGCCCCTACTTAAGTATGGGACAGAGAACCTCTAATAAGACTGCCACATAAGCTCATAACTTAACCAAGGTGAGTTGACTAATCTACCGTTATTCGGCTAACTCTAACAATTCCTTTAAGTCACAAATAGTATTTATTAAATTCTGGTTACATAGATGATATGTGTTATGTTGAAGTTATGTGTTTCTTATTCAACATAATCATTTGCAGGAACACTCTTTTTTTTGATAAATCACAGGAACACTTTCTGGGTGGATTAATCTACTATATATTGTTTTCTTGAGTGGTTTTCCAGTTTATTATAAGAAGGATACAAATTTTGAGCACATGGATAAATCAAGTCCATTTCATTAGGCATTTTGAATTTAAGTTGAATTGAGACAAGGATGTTGTACTATGTTTTACATGTTGGTCAAATACTGCTTATCGTTATTCACTTTTAAATTGAAGATTTACATGCAAGACCCACATGTCGTAGTGGTGGAGACTTCAATATTTGATTTGAATCATTTTTTTTTTTCATTTTAAAGTTGTTTATGATTTTTACTGGGCATAACTATCTATGCTGTTCTTGTTTACCTTTTGGATGTTTGTCTGTTACTCCATTAGTACAATTGTTGAACAATGATTTTGATTTATTTGTTTGCTTTCTATGTTGACTTAGTAGGGCGATGAAGTCTTATCTGTTAATGGAGTGGATGTTAGAGGGAAATCAGCTTTTGAAGTGTCATCCATGCTACAAGGTCCTAATGAAACATTTGTGACTATTGAGGTTGTGATATTGGAACCAATCATATGCAAGCATTAACTTTCTTTCTTTTTCTTTGTGTTTTTGTCCTTAAATTGCTTTTCCTTAATTTTCCATTGCAAATATTGATGTTTGTAGGTTAAACATGGCAATTGTGGACCTATCCAATTTTTTGAAGTCCAAAGACAACTTACTGCTCGAACCCCAGTATTTTATCGGCTTGAGCAAATGGACAATGGAACTGCTTCTGTTGGATATATACGCCTGAAAGAATTTAATGCATTGGCAAAAAAGGATTTGGTTATTGGTATATCAAGTTGCTAATTTGTTATTATCTACAACTGAATCTTAAGAGTTGCACTTGTTTAGTAGTGAAAATTTTATAGGAAATTTATAGGTTGAATATTTTAAACTTCAGATGCAAAATGGTATGTATTATGATATATTGTCTTCCATTCCTTTCATGCTCTGGTTTTGGAACTAGAACTATCATAAAGACAAGAAAAGAAAACTAAAATTTTGTTTGACCACCACCTTGTAGATGCTGATATCTGCAATCTCTCATGTCTGTCTGTCTATCTGCACCATTAGAGCCCAATGGGATATGGATTTCTTCATTAGTGGCCAGTCTTATAACAGTAGTTGTAGTTGATCTTAAATGAGGCACTTTTGAGTCCCATCTCTTGTAAATATGCAGACGAGCTATCTTTGCATTTTTTTTTGGGTAAGTAATAGAAAATTTTCATTAAATAAAAGAGTACAATCTGGATATTTGATAAGATAGCACCTAACATCCAAAAGATCTATCTTTGCTTTTTTTTTTTTTTTTGGAAAGAAGAATTAGAGCCATTTGAAGGTTGAGTGTATATACTACACATTTGGAATCTTTTGACTCCTAGTAGGGGACATTGCTTGGTGTAATGGTAAAATCTTGGAATGACAAGCATGGGGAGGTTCTTTTTCTTCAAATTTATTTATTTATTTTTTCTTATATGTTTTTTGACCTTGCTATATTTTGGTTTCATTTATAGGTCTTTTGACTTCATGTTTGCACTATGTAGTTTAAGTTTGTGCTGAAACTAAATGAGTAAATGGCTCTTGCAGCAATGAAACGTCTTCAGGACCTTGGTGCCTCATATTTTGTTCTGGATCTTAGAGATAATCTTGGTGGACTCGTACAGGTTTGTTTGCTATCTCAATCCTTTATGTTTTCCATAGATTCTTTTTTCCAAACAAACTTCAACGGGTCAATAATGTCCATCTATAGAAAGGTTTTATTGTAAATCCTAACCATAAATGATTTCGTTTTCAGTCTATTTGTTTTTCCTTAATGATTAGAGCATTGGATGTACTCTTTTCTCCTCGTATACATATTGAGACTTTTCAGATTTCTTTAATGTAAACTAAATGGCTCGTTGATATATTCCTAGACAGAAGACATGTTAATGATACGAAATAATTAGTTTTTCAACTTTTCTACCTATTGGCCATATTCTTCCTTGAGAATTTAACAATCAGAAATGCTGTTTTACAATGGCACTATGGCAGCTTCTTGGTGCTCTGTTTCTTTAAACCCCCCTCTTTTTCTCTTCCCCTCCTCCCTCCCTCCCTCCTAATTACAATTGTCTTTTTCCCTTCATGGGAGACAGGGAGAATGGGGGAACTTATCTGTAAGTATTTGATTTCTTTGTGGTGCATTTGTTAAAAACAAAACTAACAGTTGCCATTCTGATGTTGTATTTCCTATTTTAGTTCATAATCTTATTTAACTTGTTATATAGAAATGTTTATTGAATGCTAAGTATGTAATATGGCACTTTCAACACTAAATCTATTCTCTGTTTCCTTAAGGCCTTCCTTAATATTCCCCTAAAATGCTAACACTTTTCATGGCACTTTCAACATTTCTGAAGTTTTATTAAAACTATTCCCTGTTTCCTTAAAATATTCCCCTAAAATGCTAACACTTATAACTTTGTTGATTGTAAAACTGAATAGGGATAATGGACTGAAATTACTAATGTTGGACAAGAGTTAAGAATAGAACATGCTGGACACCTGTCGCACCTCACCCTTCTCTATGATAATTTTTGAAACTCTAGGTGATTTTGTATCCTTTGCATTTTCCTTTGTAGAGACAGTGAAATCTAGCCGTAGGGCTATTTTTGTACTTTTCTTTTTTGTATATCTCTCTTTGTATTATATCTCTCATGTATATTAAGGGCAGATCTGTCCTTTTACAACTTAATATAAATATTTCTTTTAGGGTGTTGACTGACACAAGTTGTCACACCCACCATTCGGCTGTGTTGTCTCTCTCTCTTTCACTTTCTCAGTTTTTCGATCCGACTCTGACATGGTATCAGAGCTGGTCATGATCTGATCTGCTAGTGACTACTTCCTCACCTCTTTCTTATCAGTTATCTAGAGTACTCCCTAATAGTACTTGGGAGGCTCTTGAGTGTTCTTAAATCCGATTTTTGAAGCTGCTTTTAATCAGAACTCGACAGACTCTGTTCCTGGACTGCTGCGCCACTAGATTTCTCTTTCGGATTGGATCTCCCTTTAGAAGCATCAGATCAGGCTGAAACTTTAGATCTAGTGTCGCCCAGGGCAGATCTACTGTTCCCAATTGGTTTGGTTTGAATCGGATTTGATCTAGAAGGGTTTTGAGCCACTTCATAGTTCGGCAGACCCTTACAGTTTCATTTTCTGGACATTGACTGAAAGGTACTTCATTATTCTATTGTTTTGAACACTTCTCTTTGTGGTTTTTCTTGCTCTTGTGATTCAATGGCATCAGAAAGAATGGAAGTTCTCCCCATCAAATTTAATGGTACAAACTGTGCACTTTGGAAATTCAATTTCCAATTTCATGTCGAGGCGAAAGGTCTCTGGGGATATTTGGATGGATCAGTAGTTAAACCTGATGATTCGGACATCATGGGCCTTAATCAATGGAGAATTGATGATGCAAAAATTGCATCTTGGATCTTAGGATCCGTTGAAACTGACATTGCAATTCCTATGAGAGGATACAGGACTGCCTGTGAGATGTATGAGTATTTTGAAAGAGTATATCAGCAATCCAACACCTTAAGACAGTATCAGATAGAGGTTGACATCTTTTTCTATTATCAAGGAGAAAGAAAGGTCCAAGAGTACTATGCTGGGTTTATTAACCTTTGGACCGAATATGAGCTTGTTCACATGGGGAATGATCATTCAGAATGTTGTGTGAAGTATATGAAGGAACATTTCGATAGAAGAAAGATTATGCACTTCCTAATGCATTTCAGACCTGAATTCGAAGTTGTTAGATCTAATATCCTGAGTTGAGGAACACTTCTTGACTTGGATACTATTCTTGGTGAAATTCTGAGGGCCGAAACCAGAATTGCCACACAGACTACTCTGGATGGAAGGTGTCTAACATTGATACGGTCTTTCTAGCAACAAAACTGAAAAGGAAGAAGGACTTCTCTAAAATACAATGCTATGAATGTAAGGAGTTTGGACTGAAGGGATGGGATATCCATCACATGGACGCCCAAACCTTGCGGAATAGATAGGGTGAATTTCAAAAAATTTTTCTCCCATCTTTGCAGGGAATCGAATTCCCTATTTCAGAAAACATATTTTCAAGGATCAATCTTGAACCATGAACCAAATCAGATCTGAACCAAAAGGGGTAGGAGGGAGGATATACCTGATACGGAGAAACAATATCTCCCAATGGAGGTGTTCA